TGATATCCCTGGGCCCCACGCTGACGCCGCTCGATACACCAGTGTGTGCCAGGGGCTCAGGCATAGGGCTCAGTGGTAAGAGACTCAGCTCCCGCTGCTGCAAGAGGAACCCTCAGCCCTGAGGGAGGCAGAGCTGTGAGGACACAGGGTGGGGATAGAGGGCGCCGATGTTTGGGGACACTCAGGAGGCCGGTGTGGGGCATGAGGAGGGGGCATCTCAGAGCGGGGGCTGCGGAGCCACAGGCTGAGCCTCCTGCATGGATGGGGCATCCTTGCCTGTTCCCCCTGCCAACCCCGCTCCTGGGGCCTGTCTCCCCAGAGCCTGTACTTTTTGAGACAGAGTCTCACTCTGTCATCAAGGCTGGAGTACAGTCATGCGTTCTTGCCTCACTGCAACCTCCACCTCCTGGGTTCAAGCAATTCTCATGCCTCAGCCTCCCAAGTAGCTGGAGCTATAGGCATGTGCCACCAGGCCTGGCTAATTTTTGTATTTTTAGTAGAGATAGGGTTTCACCACATTGGCCAGGCTGGTCTCAAACTCCCGACCTCAGGTGATCTGCCCACCTCAGCCTCCCAAAGTGCTGGGATTATAGGTGTGAGCCACTGTGCCCGGCCCTGTACTTCTTTTTGTTTGTTTGTTTGTTTGGCTTTGTTTATTTATTTTTTGTTTTTGAGACAGGGTCTCACTGTGTCACCCAGGCTGGAGTTCAGTGGTGTGATCTCAGCACTGTGTCTGGCCTGCAGCCACCTTTAACCCTCCACCCTGCTTAAGAAACCATTGTTGGGCTGGGCGCAATGGCTTACGCCTGTAATCCCAGCACTTTGGGAGGCTGAGGCGGGCGGATCACAAGGTCAGGAGTTCGAGACCAGCCTGGCCAGCACGGTGAAACCTTGTCTCTACTAAATATACAAAACATTAGCCAGGCGTGGTGGCACGCACCTATACTCCCAGCTACTCAGGAAGCTGGGGCAGGAGAATCGCTTGAACCCAGGAGGCGGAGGTTGCAGTGAGCAGAAATTGCGCCACTGCACTGCAGCCTGGGCTACAGAGTGAGACTCTGTCTCAAAAACAAAACCAAACCAAAAGAAACCATTGTTGAATAGGAAACCGAATGTCACAGGTGCACCACGTGTTGGTAGGATGTGGGGAGTTGTGAATGGGAAGACGGTCTCCCTCCTGGCCCCACTCTCCACCCTGCAGGACTCCTAGGAGGTGATGACCCCTGGGCTCGGGTCCCTGCAGAGTGGGGTGTGGCTGCAGGGTGCTCCTCCTTGTCCTGCACCCTGAACCCAGAACTTTCCTGGGAGCTTTTCCTCCTGACATCCACAGAGCAGCTCCCTTGTACCTGCCAGGGCTTCCTCTACAATCACTGGCTCATAGAGGCTTTTTCCTGCCCGTCCTGTCTACAATTTTGAGTCCCCATCCCCACCCTTTACAGCCTCCGCTGTAAACGTTTTCCCCGTAGCACTCAGGCGCTGATACCCACGAGGGGCAGGGTTTGGCCTGTCTCTCTCAGCCGCTGTATTCTCAGGGCCTGGAGTGGTGCCTGATAGGCGCCAGTAAATGTGTAGAGCTCTTGTCAAACTGTGCACAGGAAGCTACTCTCCCAACCATTAATCCCCAAGGGGAGACAGGGTGGGGGAGAAATTGTTCTAATTCTCCTACTTCCTCTGCAGACCGAGTCTCCAGGTCTGAGAAGGAAGGACTCAGAGGGCTTTGGTGTCAGGGGCCTACCTTCCCGTCCTGCACCCCACACCTGAAGAATCCCAGCCTCCAGCGTCTGCCTTTCCCTGCACTCTAGGGGATTCTGATCACAGGCAGGTGTGGGGCTGCAGCCCTGGCCTCGTCTCCGGGGTCTGCAGGCTCAGTGCTCCCTGCAGCTCTTCCCAGGTGGTGGGACAAGGTGAGGCTGCTGAGCAGGACTCTCCTCCCAGAGCCCAGGGATCCCCACTAGCAGCTGCCCGCTACCAGCCCCCACCCCCAAGATGAAGATCGAGTTCCTCGGGCAGGCACCTCACCTGGCTGCCAGGAAAGTGACGTGCAGGTGGGCTCTCTGCTGCTAGATTTAAAATTCTCTGTCAGAGCCAACTATTAACATCACCTGGGTCAGCCTCGACCTCCTAGGCTCAAACAATCCTCCCACCTCAGCCTCCTAAGTAGCTGGAACTACAAGCATGCGCCACTATACCTGGCAAATCTTTGTATTTTTTTGTAGAGACGGCAGGGGTTGTGTGTGTGTGGGGGGGTGTCTCACCATGTTTCCCAGGCTGGTCTCAAACTCTTGGACTTGAGCAATCCTCCCACTTTAGCCTCCCAAAGTGCTAAGATTACAGGCATGAGCCACCACACCTGGCTTCACCTAGGGGTTTTTACATAACACCCATACCTGGGCCCTACCTGGGCCAATTAAATCAGAGCCCATGGGGCAAGGCCAGGGCCTGGGTATTTGCTTCATTCATTTTTATTTATTTATTTGTCAGCTCGCCAGGTGATCCTGGCATGCAGTCAGGGCCGGGAACTATTGGAAAATACTCAGGGGTTCTCAGTCAAAAGCATGGTGCTCCCAGGGGACAGGTGGCAATGTTGGGAGATATTTTTTGGTTGTCATGACTTTGAGGAATGGCTCTCCTGGCACCTCGTAGGTAGAGGTCAGGGATGATGCTCAGCAGCCACAGTGCGCAGGACAGCCCCCAGCACAAAGGGTGACCGGCACAGATGCCGACAGCGCGGACGCTGGGAAAGTGATGCTGGAGTGTGAACCCACTGTTCTCACGGCAGCAGCCTCCTGGGGGAGGAGGCAGTCGGATTCTTTCCATTCCTCATCTCAGTCTGTACAGTTGACAAAACACATCCTCCTCAGCCTCCACTCATTACTGCAGCGTCCCCTCCCCCAGGGCTGAGGCTTGGGCCAAACTCCGCTGGGATGAGCAGCTCCTGTCTCCGCTGGAGGCAGGAGAGCGCAGGAGTGGAGACGAGCCGTCAGAAGGCACTCCTCGCTGACTGGGAGACCCATGACCTGTGACCTCCCTAAGTCTCAGGCCCCACACCTGAGAGGGTTGTCATGAACAGGCAGTGACGTGAGGGCTGCCTGCACAGTTGGCGTCAGGTTAAATACATAACCTGATAAATAAGGAAATCCTCAGTTCTCCTTTGAGGAAACAGAAGCCCAGAGAAAAGCTGATCTCCACTAGTGTCATCCCTTCTGCACCCTTCCAGAATAAGAAGGCAGGGTGAGGGCAACTGCCTGTCATCCCTAGGGACTTCTGCGGCCACCATTAGAGGAGACAGTTCACAGCGGCTCTGCCCCAAAGCTCCCTGGAGAGGAGCAGGACATAGGACGCTCAGCAGCCCAGGAAATGGCCCCTTGGGACCTTCAGGAGGTGCTGCACTTCCCCAGGGACCCGCTGACTCCCGAGGGGCTGGGACGCAGGGAGTCCCTGGGAAGGGCAGGAACTGGCAGTGCAGGGGAGATAGATATGAATCAAATCTGCACAATCACGAAAGGGAACCTGGCTCCAGGGCAGGCACAGCTGGGCTGGGAGGTGACTGACAGAGGGAGACACTGTGCCGTGGGGTCTCGGAGCCTTCATTCTTAGTTGCCTAGGCTTGTCCATCTCAGTTCCTCAGGAGCCTAGGTCTGGTCCCTGCCTCCCCACACCCAGCGAAGGGACGGCACACAGCCAGGCATGATGATTTGCCCACAGCCAGCTTGTTGAGCCCCCTCCCCATCCTGCCCTGAAGTCTCTGAGCTCTTCCTGGCTTTCTAGCCCCTCCCCAGGGATGTGCCCTCAGCAGACAGCCACCTGCACAGGCCTCCCCCAGCCCAGCAGTTGGGGCAACAGCTTTGATGGGCACGCCCACCACCCCAGCACCGGCCAGCAGCAGGTCCCATCCTGCTTCTGGAGGGTGGACGAGTGGAAGGAACGTCCTGCCCCTTCTCTTTGTTAGAGGCGGGGGAGTGGGGGACATGATACATTTCCTGCCTGTCGGTCTGGACTCTATAAGGTCAGGGGAATCTAAAGATCGCTCCATTTTTAGGAATGACTCAAGCAACAGCACACGGCTAGGACGATGACTCCATTTCCTGCAACTCTTTGCCACATTCACCAAAGGAATGTCACTTTCCTGCTCCGTGACTCAGTTTCCCCTTCTAAGCCTCCAGAAATATATAGGGCACGGGGTGTGGAGACCTTGGGCTTGTAGGGTGGAGAGGGTACCACAGGCTTGTAACAATGACATGGAAAGCACAGGGCAGGCATCTTTCTGTTCCTCCTGCCCCACTGGGCAGGTGTCTGCAGAGGCCTCCACACAGGTAGGGCTGATGGAGGGAGTGTGCCTCCTAAGAAGCCCATCTGGCCAAAAGACCTCTGTGTCCACACCGTGGGGAGCTGGGCGATTCCTCTCCCTGAAGCTTATCAAGGTCATCGCCAAACACCTGAAGCTTCCCGGGGGGTCAGAAGGCAAGCCCTGACCTCCTTGTAGGGTGCAACCCCAGGTTCACCCCGAAAGTGGGGTGCAAAGGCTTGCTTGGAGAGCAAAAGGGAACCCCCACAGCCGGAGCCACAGGGAAGGGGCACTGTCTACCAGTGCCTGGGGTCCTGCACCAGAGGAGGGCGGCTGCAGACGGCGAGATGGGGCGGGGGAGCTTCTTGTCCTCGCCTCCCCTCTTCGCATCCGGGCAGCGAGGTTCACTGGAGCCGGGCCCTCCAGTATGGGAGGAACCCTGGTGCCCCTTTTCACCACCCAGGGCTGGGGTGCACGGCCGCAGGGAGCCCGGCACACAGCCCCGGAGAGGGGCGCACGGTGGGGAGCCCAAACTTGCCCCGGGACCTCCCAGGGCCTAGCGGGAGGAAACAGGCGAGCAGCGAGGGGTCGGGACCGCCGCCGAGGGCGCCGGGCGGGTCCTGGCACGCTCCCCAGGGAGACGGCGGGCGGGCCCGCTCCGCCCCGCGCCCGGCCCGTGCAATCCTGGCGCCCGCGGCCCGGCGGCTGCAGTCAGCGCCGCCCTCCAGGAGCGGGGCGGGACCGCGGGAGGCGCGCGGCGGCCCGAGCGCCGGCCGGGCCATGACCCCCGCTGCTCTCTCTTGCAGGCTCGTCGCCGCGGCCCCCCGAGCCAGACCGCCGCCGCCACCACCAGCGCCCGGGCGGGCCTCGCGCGCCCCGGGCGCGGCTCCGCAGTGAGCCCACCAGGAAGGAAGCGGTGAGTGCCCCGCGCCTCGTGCCCGCCGCCCCTTCTCCTGGACGCCCGGCTTCCTCGAGCAACGCGGCCCCTGCCGGGCGGCGTCCACGCCCCGCAAGCTCCAGCCGCTGCAGGGGCGCGGCTCGGGGGGCGGTGGGGGACCCACGCGGGCCCGGGCATCCCCCCAACTTCTTGTAGACTTTGCTGCGAAGACACAGGCTTTAGGAAACTTGGCCCGGCTCTGGCGGCGCTGTGCAACTTGCACCCGCGGTGGGGGTGTGTCCCCGCGCGGAAGCCTCTGGCCCCCACTCCCCACCGGCCACCCCGCACCGTCACGAGTTCCTTGGGAATGGACCAGAATGCCATTCCTGAGAGCTGGAAGGCAGCCCAGCGGGGGGCGGGGGCAGGAGGCCTCCCGAGGAACCATTTCCCCTCTATCGAGTATTTCCAAATCTATTATTTATGAACCGCCTCACTCAGGGGCCCCCCTGCGCTCCCAGGGCATCAAAGCATGTTTGCAACCGCAAAGGGCGACCCGTGTGGACGCACGCGCGCCTTCTCCTGGCTGGCTGCGGTCGGGCGGAACTGGGGGAGGCCTCAGTAAAAAGGGGCACCCGCAGCTCCCCCCAGGGATAGGCGGAGGGCGGGGTCCGAGGGCGGCTGGGACTTCTCTCAGACCGCCTCTGGCTGCGGGGCCCAGATGGGATCAAGGGAAAATCTGTGCAGGCTGGAAAGACTTTGGAGCCCGGAGGAAGAGGGAGGAAGGGAAGGCTGCGAGGCAAAGGCACTTCGGAGGTAGTGCAGGCCTCGGGGAACGAACGCCTCAATGTACAGGTGAGGAAACTGAGGCTCTGAGAGGCATACCCTGAGTCACAGGCTCTGGCGTTTCCTGCCTAGACCCCACCCACCCAACGCTGTGGGAAGTCCCCTGTCCTGGGCTGGGTTAACTCCAAAAAGCACCCTCACCTGTGCAGGCCACGCCCTCCTTGGGTTCTGCGCCCCCACCGCTGGGGACCGGGTCCTGCGGACGGGAGGAGGCCATGTATTTATGGAAACACTTAATCCCTCTGCCAGCCCCAAGGAGGCTGAAAGCTCACCACCTAATCTCCTCTCCCTGGAAGCGCCTTCCCATGCCGGTGGGGTGCACCCCAGACCCACGTAGGGTGTATTTTCCCAGCCCAAGGTGTAGGTCACCTCTAGAGACTTGGGAGCGTCGCGTCAGTGGACACTGAAAAAGAGAGCAGTGATATTTCATGCTTACCGAGCACTCCTCGTGCACCAGACCCTGCGTTTTCTGTTTTAATCCCCTGACCAACTCTCCAACCAAATACTGTCAGCCCCGTTTTAAAGATGAGGAAGCAGGGCCAGGCACAGTGGCTCACGCCTGTAATTGCAGTACTTTGGGAGGCCAAAGCAGGAGGACTGCTTGAGGCCAGGAGTTTGAGACCAGCCTGGGCAACATAGTGAGACGCCCCCCCACCCCCACCCCGCCCAGCTACACCAAATTTTTAAATTAGCTGGGTGTGGTGCATACCTGTAGTCCCAACTACTTAGGAGGCTGAGATAAGAGGATTCCTTAAGCCTAAGAAGTTGAGGCTACAGTGAGCTATGATCACACCACTGCATTCCAGCCTGGGCAACAGAGGGAGACCCTGTCTCTTAAAAAAAAAAAAAAAAATCCCCAAAAAAATTAAAAAATAAAAATGAGGAAACAGAAGTTTGTAAAGGCAAAGTGACTGACGCAAGGTCACATGGCTAGAAAATGGCAAGGCCAGGGCTGGAACCCTGAGCCATGGTACTGAATTGCTCTGACCTACAGTGGTAGCCAGGCTAGGCCTCTGGGCCTGCTGAGAATAATCCCCCATCATTAAAAAGATTAGTAAGTAATGATGGGGCCCAGGCACAGTGGCTCACACCTGTGATCCCAGTGTGCTGGGAGGGTGAGGCAAGAGCATCACTTGAGGCCAGGAGTTTGAGACCAACCTGGGCAACATAGTGAGACTCCTTTCTCTAAAACAAAAAAACAAACAAAATTAGTAAGAGGTTGTAAACCAAAAACAAAAAAAAAACAAAAAACAAAAAAACAAAAAACACACACAAAACGAAAAACCTGAAGTCTCTCAATCATCTGAGTGGATCACTCCCCTTGGCTAAGGGCATTCCAAAGTTAACCTGAAAAGCTAGTTCAGGCCATGATGGGAAGTGGGGTCAGACATGCCTCATTATACTCTCTTCCTTTTTGAAATTCAGGCCCAGCTGACCAGCATTAACATCAGTGCAGACCTTCAGATTAATAGGAGAGTTCCTTTAAGTCTGATAAGAAACATGTACAATCTATTCTCTCTCAAGCCAAACCCCTTATGGTAACCCAGACATTCCTTTCTATTGGTTCCAGGTCTTTAGATAATAACTCTTTTGGGGTTTTTTTGTTGTTTTTTCAGATGGAGTCTTGCTCTGTTGCCCAGGCTGGAGTGCAGTGGCGTGATCTCGGCTCACTGCAACCTCTGCCTCCCAGGCTCAAGCGATTCTCCTGCCTCAGCCTCCTGAGTAGCTGGGATTACATGCGCATGCCACCATGCCTGGCTAATTTTTGTATTTTTAATAGATATGGGGTTTCACCCTGTTGGTCAGGCTGGCCTCAAACTCCTGACCTCATGATCCTCCCGCCTTAGCCTCCCAAAGTGCTAGGATTACAGGCGTGAGCCACTGCACCCAGCCCAGATAATAACTCAACCATTTGCCAATCAGAAAATCTTTGAATCTTCCTATGACCCAAAAGCCATGTCCCCCAGTTCCCACCTACTCCCCGCTTCAGTTCTCCCACCTTTCCAGATGGAACCAATGTAAATCTTTTTTTTTTCTTTCCTTTTTTCTTTTTATTTTGGCGGGGGGACAGAGTCTTGCTCTGTTGCCCAGGCTGGAGTGCAGTGGTGCGATCTCAGCTCACTGCAAGCTCCGCCTCCCAGGCCCACGCCATTCTTCTGCCTCAGCCTCCCTAGTAGCTGGGACTACAGGCGCCCACCACCAAGCCCGGCTAATTTTTTTTTGTATTTTTAGTAGAGACAGGGTTTCACCGTGTTAACCAGGTTGGTCTCGATCTCCTGACCTCGTGATCTGCCCACCTCAGCCTCCCAAAGTGCTGGGATTACAGGCTTGAGCCACCGCGCCTAGCCTTTTTTTGTTTTTGTTTTTTTGAGATGGAGTCTCACTCTGTCACCCAGGCTGGAGTGCAGTGATGCAATCTCAGCTCACTGCAACCTCCGCCTCCCAGGCTCAAGCAATTCTCTACCTCAGCCTCCTGAGTAGCTGGGATTACAGGCGCCCACACCACACCTGGCTAATTTTTTTGTATTTTTAGTAGAGACGGGGTTTCACCGTGTTAGCCAGGTTGGTCTTGATCTCCTGACCTTGTGATCCGCCTGCCTCGGCCTCCCAAAGTGCTGGGGATTACAGGCTTGAGTCACCCTGCCTGGCCAATTTTTGTATTTTTTTGTGGAGACAGGATTTCACTATATTGCTCTGGCTGGTCTCAAAGCCCTCTTATTTTTTGGTAAATGTTTTTATTGACGTATAATGTACAGAAAGGTGCTTGAATCCTAAGGTGTTCAGCTCTGTTATTTCACAGTGGCCCAGAGAGGGCAGTGGGCAAGTATTTTGCTGTGAGTCACATGGCTCATCCGTGGGAGGCCAAGCAGGTGGGGATTTCGGTGGGCCTTCTGTCCCCACCCCATCCTGTTTCGCTTCCTGCTGGTGAAGGCTTCCTGTGGGCCAGGTGGAGGTCCCAGCCACTCAGAGAGGGGCTCACTGTCCCTGCAGGACCGTGGCTAAGCCGAAGGCAGCCCTTCCTTTTGCACTCTGTGGACCAGGAAGGAAGCACATGAATGCTTGCAGCATCGTTTCCCAACCCAGTTCCTTTGGCTGGAATTGCGGGAATTCGAGTCCTGCTGCAGAAAGAAAGTGGCTTTCCTAAAGAAGGAAGAAAAGCACCATGTGTGTCGTGAGCCTGCTGGGAGCCCGCTTGCCTGCACTCTCTTCCCTGCTTGCAGTGTGACCAGGCCCAGAGAGCTGAAGGGGCTTGCCCAGGCTCCCCCACCACCCTGCGCCACTGGGATTGCAGCCCACTCAACTGGCAAACAGTCACATTCCTCAGCTGTGACTCTTCTTCAGCCCTACCCTCTTCTGGGTCCTCCCAGGAGGTCTCTGTTAGGCAAGCAGGGCAAGGTGCCACCGTGACTCAGGACCTCCATGGGGTTACTCTGATTTCATCTGGGAGGTGGCTCTGCAGGAACCAGTTCATTCACTTTCCCTGTCTGGTTCTCCAGGTCCCCATCTGGGACAGCCAGACGTTAGAAATCAGATGACCTTGAATAGGGTGGTCAGATTCAGCAAATAAACACAAGGATAACTAAGTTATCCAGCTAAGTTTTCATTGTTTTTGTTTGTTTGTTTGAGGTGGAGCCTCACTCTGCTGCCCAGGCTTGAGTGCAGCGGCATGATCTCTACTCACTGCAACCTCTGTCTCCCAAGTTCAAGCAATTATCCTGCCTTGGCCTCCCCAGTAGCTGGGATTACAGGTGCCCTCTGCCACGCCCAGCTAATTTTTATATTTTTAGTAGAGATGGAGTTTCACCATGTTGGCCAGACTGGTCTTGAACTCCTGGCCTCAAGTGATCTGCCCACCGCCTCATCCTCCCAAAGTGCTGGGATGACAGGAATGAGCCATCGCAACCAGCCCCGGCTAAGTTTAACTGCAGATAAACAAGAGTTTTTATGAGTGTGTCCCCTGCGATAACTGGGCATCCTGTATTTTACCTAGTCACCTCTCTCTGACCACTTCCAGCTCTAGACTTGTATGAGTCTCTCCAGGATGGGTTTATCTCATACCCTAGAGCTGAACTTCTGTGATCCACAAAAGCGGTAACTGAAGGGAATCGGCAAACATTGGAGCCCGCTTTGATAAGCAGGGTCCCTCCAGCCAGCAGGAGATTCTGTCTCTGCTAGGCAGTCAGCACGGTGCCTCC